CCCCCCGGCCCCCCGCCCGAGCCGTCAGCCACGGCTCCGCCCGATGAGCGCGGCCTAGGTCCTCCTGCCGCGCGGTCGCCTCCACCCTGCCCTGCGGTCGCTGCAGCAACAGCCTCCAGCGACCGCCCTATCCGACCAATTGACTTGGCCGCTGCCACTGTTACGTGTGACCTACGACGTTGACTGTTTTTCAGATATGGAAATGTAATGTTGACAATCCCATGCCATGTTCAGTGTATATGTTATCTGATTTCTGGTTTTTGTGTTGGCGATTAACGGTCTTAGTATTTAATTGTTGAAATTAAGTAATTCGTCAAACATTGCTAGTATGTTACTCAGTCACAATCACACGTCCAACATATTAAGACTAGTAACTTTGGTAAATTAATTAATTGTCACTTCTTACAGTTTATAATTTGTGTTCATATTGCGTATCAACTTCAGGAAAAGGATTGAAATAATTACTAAATGGACGAAATTAGTTTCCATTAATGTACATTTTCTGTATGTGTAATTGTTAAAAAATCCAAAAATTAAAGGAAGAAACAAAGAGAATTTAAAAATATTAGTAACTAGTTGATGTGAATGATTCAAAGATTTGTAGTCGAATGAACTGGATACGAGTTCGCGACCCAAGAGTAGGAAGTAGAATTGGTGACATGGAAAATGGTTTATTTATGGATGTTCTGTGAAGTGTACCCTTGAAGGCGACAGTTGTGCTTCATTTAACAGAACGACTCGTTTCGCAAAGTATAAATAGATCTTCCTGCACCACTCCGACTATACCTTTCTGCACAAAGTAAACTTATTCGTTCTTAGATATATATTTCAAAAATATTAGAAAAATTCTTCTTTCTCTCTTCGCAGTTGTCGTAAAATGAACTCGTGCATCGAAACACTTTGGTATGTTTTGAGGATATTACTTCTTCGTTAATTGTATTAATTGTTCAGTCAAAAAAAAAAAATTAATCCATGTGATTGCAATCTAAAATTTGAAACATCGTGAGATGTAATTATATCAAAGACTTATAAAAAATATATTTTCATGTTGTTTGTTCTAGAAAATTTGAAGTGAAGAATATTTTTAAACGTAGGCAAAAACAATCAGACGAAATAAAACTTTTGCGTTGAAAGTAAAAATGTATTCGAACATTTTTAATTGTTTGCTATTCTAATTCATGAAAGTTAAGTCCGAATTTTAACGTTTGTAAATCACTTGTGTTTATGACATTGGAACTATATTAAACTGGTAATTTCATCGTGCGTATACGTTCAAACGAATTCATTACTTTCATTGCAAAGCTCATCGGGGGAAACAACCACAGCGAAAGACGTTACGGTGAAAATTTATATTGTGTACTTTCTTTCGGAATTAATGAGTTTTGAGAAAGTTTGTTCGGTGTGCGTAGATATTTAATTGGCCATATTTCACAAAGATTTACAAGTGTTCTTTTCTAATGACTTGCACTACGTCGTGAGGACGCCAGAAAGAGAAAGTATTTGGGCAAGAGATCTGCGGGACCGCCGGCTTTTCCAATTGCAGTTGTAGGAAGGATTTTAAAAAATACTGACAAAGAGCGCTTCTAATGACCATAAAATAAAGTTATTGTTATTCGCAAATCTCTGTTATGTCTCGTATAAAAATTATTTATTTGTTTTCTGATAACGCTTGTATTGTATCTCAAGGATAGAATTGCGAAATTTTCGAACAATAATTCCGCAAAAATAATCAAAAAACTCACGTGGGGTAATTTTGTCAAAATGCGATAAACCGTAACGATTTGTGCAGTTGGCAAGAGTGGAAAAAAATATAAAAAGAACAGAATAGCGTGTATCCGAAGGACAATCTTTGGCAGTGGTATCTGTGCAGATCCCAGTTCAAGGTCCTGAACATTTCGATAAACCTGGTGAAACGTGAAGTTCGTAGAGATGTCGGCTTCTGCGAACGGCTGCCCTTCCCCCGCAGAAGGGTTCGGTAAAGGGATCAGAATCCACGGAAATGCTCCGCCCCGCCCCGCCCTACGCCACTCCGCGTCGTGCAAGCACGCCCTGCTTATTCCAAGGTGCCGGAAGCGCGGGGGCCGGACAAATTTGGCGGAGCATGGACGCCGGCGGGACCGGGTACAGCGCAGACGTGGGTCTCTCCCGGTATTGACCGGCCGGCATGGGGGGACTTGGCCATTCCGTTCCTGGCGTCCCCCCCCCTCCCACACCACGGCTTTCTTCCTCTCGCACTCCCCGCCCTTGAGCCGACCGCGCGCCCGAACCGTCACACGGAGAGCTCGCGCGGCCCGCCTCCTCTTTCGCTCCCTCTCATTTACAACTTTGGGTTTCTCTCGCGGTTTTTTTTTATTCCGCTTTTCATCGCGGTCGGCGTTGTTCTCTTTCAATTTGCTCGGCCGCATCCACGGGGGTTCGGCTGATCCGCTGTGTCCGGCGCTCCCTGGCTGGGTAGGCGGTAGGCTCTACCTCGTTCGCTGGAACGGGTGTTAGTGCCTGCCTGGTCGAAGTGCGGAAACGGTTGTGGCGCGTTATCTCGGCTATGTCTTGTTTGATAGTCCAAACTCGCATGCGCGGGAAATATCGAGGATTATAACGGATT